CAAGTTCCAGTTAATTTTTCGACTTCGTCTTTTCAAGTTCCGGTTAATTTTTCAGTGTGTGTGGGAAAACTATTATAAAAAGTGAGTAAGAAAAATTAAATAAAAAAATTTACACTCTAACTACTTTCCATTAACTTTTCTCTCCTTACTTTTTTCTTTCCTAGTTTTGCGTACGGGTTTTTCTTTCTTATATAGTTACACTCGATTGCTAAGCGTGTGGTCGAGTGCATATTAGATAGGCTCCCCTTTTACGTTATTCTATTGCCAAGAGTGTAGTAAAATAACGCGAAGCATTACTATATTACCAAGTGTGTGGTATGGTAAAGCTTCAATCCCCCGTCGCCGAAAAAAGAATTTTCCACGATAGTGGCAACGCACGTCCCGGTTATTGTCCACAAGGATAGACCAAAAAAAAGTGCGCCTGAGAATTGTTTCGTCAACCGACGTTACACATGCATACATACATAAATATGGATCACCTGTGGAAAAGTTGAGAAATTATTGAGTTTATAATGAAACCGTCCTCTTAGAAGTAATTTAATGTTGTAACTAAATTCCTGAGATAGTACAGTATCACACCTGCTCGGGCTAATTTCATAAGTGGTCCCAGGATGCTTCTATTTTAATCAATAGAGTGAAGGAATTGCGAAGATAGTTAAAGTTATCTGACTACGTGATCATTGCTACGTGACTCAGAATATATATCGTAAACTTCCTAACAGCGCGTAACACTTTTGTCTTTCAGCACTCGCTTGGTGTGCATCGCACTTAGGTCTGTGTACCACGAATCATTGCTTTTTGCCTACCACGATCATCATCGTCGAGTCCATGACGATCAACTATGTAACCGCAGTTTTGTAGGAATGCAAATTTTACAAACTTTTACAAAAACGCCGGAATACTGAATGAAAATCCTTAGGCGCAGAGTCATGTGCTAGGCTTCTTTAAGATGAATAAATTCCTGAACTTGCTATATTGCAATAATTAAAAACATCAAAGATGAAAGAGTAAGCTCCAGTTAAATAAAATTAAATACAAACAAATAATTCCACTGATAACATTCCCCTAATCATTTTAGTCTCTTCAGATCAATGATCTTACAAATTACTTCTAATGGACAGGAAAGTAAATCAATAAAATTTTCTAGTCAAGAGAACAATAGTCATATTAAGTTCGTCTGTTAGTCATTTCGCTACACTTGTTGGACTTGTACTGTAAGCATGACTGACAAAGGTAATATGACTATTATTTTCTTGACTAGAGAATTTTATTCTCTTACTTTTCTGTCTACGATAATTAATTTATCAAATCATTGATCTGAAGAGGGCAAAAATAATTAGCGAAACGTTATCAGTGAAAAGATGTGTTTGCCTTTAATTTTATTTTAATTAGGACTTACTCTTACATCTATGATGTCTTTTTCTTTGATTATTCTTTCTTAACCCATTAACTACCAAAATGCTCAATTTTTTTGTCGATTTTCAACGCGTTTTTTTCGGTAGTCATAGGCCTAAGAAATTTTTGCAAACACGTATTTGGATGGGAAATTTAACGCTCTTTTAGAATCTTTATCAAAATTGCGATTGATTGCGTTATAAAAAAGTTATAGCCAATTAAACAATAAAAACCTGAAAAATTTTGCGAAAAATCAAGTTTGCGATTTTTTTTAGCAATGTTACCGCTAAAAAATCATCAAACAAATATGATCAGAGGTGATCATGACTATCAAAGTATCTCCAGGAATTTTGGTGGAATTTTTGACCCACTTTTTCCAACAAAATTGTGGCAAAATAAAAAAAATCCATAAAAAACATTTCTCATTTTTTATCTCGGAAACCATTAAGTTTAGATAAAAAGTCCATTGAACAACAAAATTTTAGAATTAAACGAGAAATATACCTGAATTTTTTAAGAATTTTCCGAGGAGATTTTTGAATTTTCGGAGAATACGGAAAATCCATTTTTCCAAAATCATCTTAAAAAATTCTAAAGAAATTCATGCGTGTTCCTTGATAAATTCTAAGACTTTTTGTTCCATAAACTTTTTCTCCAAACTCAATAGATTTCGAGATAAAAAACGTTCTACTCTTAGCATGACCTAGAGATAATGACGAGGACGTAGTAAAATTTTGTCTCCTTTGCGGTGCTTGATTTGAGTGAGTCCCCTTGCCTCTCACTGCAATACGAATTTTTCAGTATTTTTCTGAAACATTCAACACAAATCGATAAATCACATTTTTCACAGATAATTCTCGTTCTTACGGGACAATAAGAACAAAGTTTGAGTTTTGTTTGTTTGGACATATTGTGTTTCTCTTTTTTGCATCGTCTCTGCGTCATGTAATTTTTAGCTATTGAAAGTGCAAAATCTTTTGTTCCAACCCTTTTTTTCTCATCACTGACAGCATTGAATAGTACAGTAGCATTTACAATCGAAGCTTGAATTAGTCTTAAAAAAACTACCCACGTCCACTTTTTTGAACGAATACTCGGAAGTAAATTGTTACAATGTCCGTCGTGGACATCATTGCCACCCATAAAATTGCTATAGACGCTAATAGCCCTCGGAAAAGGTATTTCAACTTTTTTTCCTTCTTGCTTACTGTATCTCTTTGAAAAGGATAATGGAGTTACCCCTGCAGCAATAGAAATAACGGAAACTGGTTTTGAATCCATCACAGTGATGTAATTTATACCACTGTTCTTATCGTGCTTCACGACATACTCACCTCTTTGAGCTTTTTTATTTAGAACATTTTTATCTTTGACTCTATCTTCTCTAATAGTACCTGTACATTTTAGCCCAAGCTTCTTCAAATGCACAACGAGATCTAAGCTTGTGAAATAATTGTCAAAATAAGGATGGAACATAGATATTTTGCCCGGAGGTATAACACGAAAAAACTTTTCTAGTAAATTCATGATAACGCGAGAAACTAATGCACACTTACTAAATTTACTTCCCGTTGTAGAATTTTTTCCGCAGTATAAGTCAAGACCTAATACAAAACCATCGGAAGTTCAAAGACCCCAGAATTTGAGACCAAATCGTATGGGTTTTCCTCGAATAAATTGTTTTAGAACCGTCCTCGCATAAGACTTAGCCATCATTTCATCGATGGAAAGAGCAGTTCTCCATACACCGAACTTCATAATATTAATTTCAAATAGGTTTAATATTGAACGGACACGCCAAGCATAGTTAGTTGGATTTTTATCTTTCGTTTGTGAATATTTTAATTTTGATTTGATCTCTTCAAACTTATTACGTGACATAGCAGAAGAAACAACGTTACAAGATAAAAAGGGATCACGTGACCAGTAATCCCTCTGAGATTTCCTTTTGTTGAATGAAGTCAAAATGATTATTTCCACGAATGTATTTAAGTCTTTCAACTTTAAATCAAAATTATTTTCTTTGCAAACATCTATAATATATTGCTTCATTTCAGTTGAGAAAAATGTTTCAAACAGTTCTACTAGCTCCATTTCTTGTATCTTATTTTTTACCGAGTCTTTCAATAAAATTTTGTCTTTCAAATTATCATTATACTTTTTTTCTCCTTCCATCCACTGGAGTTCATGCGTTCTTTCTAATTTAGTTTGAGTTTCAGTGTATTTTTTACAAGCTTCTGTATACGTTATATTAGAAATTTCATCATCCGAATCAGTATTGAAATCTGATCCATCAGAACCAGAATTGCCAGGATTTGGAAGGGTAACTATATCATCGTAAGTGTTCTTTGAAGTATCAATTTCGTACATTTCATAGGAGCGAGTGGAACGTCTTTTACGTTTTTGCGACATGTTATATAAAATAATAAAAATACCTAATGAAAATAATTACTATAGTTTTTAATGCTTCTTGTCAAACCTAGACTTTAGAAAGCGAAAATAATCTTTTCGATTCGATTTACTGTATGATCTCAAAATAACAAGAGACTAGTAAGTAATAAAAATCAGCTCACATACAATTTTCTGAATTGCTTTTTTGATATGTGTATATTAGTATACGCTATACAAACTGCACTTGTATACACATAAAAAGGCAAAACATTATTATATTATTGTTGAATGGCTGTTATTTATTTTTCTGTATCAAAAATATTAACGCTGCTAGGATTATAACCTAACTCACTTTTTATCTCGAAAACTATTGAGTTTAGAGGAAAAGTTTATGGAACAAAAAGTCTTAGAATTCATCAAGGAACGCATGAATTTTTTTAGAATTTTTGGAAATGATTTTGGAAAAATGGATTTTCCGTATTCTCCGAAAATTCAAAAATCGCCTCGGAAAATTCTGAAAAAATTCAGGCGTATTTCTCGTTTAATTCTAAGACTTTTTTGTTCAATGAACTTTTTATCTAAACTTAATGGTTTCCGAGATGAAAAATGAGAAATGTTTTTTATGGATTTTTTTTTATTTTGCCACCATTTTGTTGGAAGAAGTGGTTCAAAAGTTCCACCAAAATTCCTGGAGATACTTTGATAGTCGTGATCACCTCTGATCATATTTGTTTGATGATTTTTTAGCGGTAACATTGCTAAAAAAATCGCAAACTTGATTTTTCGCAAAATTTTTCAGGTTTTTATTGTTTAATTGGCTATAACTTTTTTATAACGCAATCAATCGCAATTTTGAAAAAAGATTCTAAAAGAGCGTTAATATTTCCATCCAAATACGTGTTTGCAAAAATTTCTTAGGCCTATGACTACCGAAAAAAACGCGTTGAAAATCGACAAAAAAATTAAGCATTTTGGTCGTTAATGGGTTAAGATGGTAATCCTAACTAAATAATATCACTAAGATATAATTTAGAAGCGAATGAAATACTTGATTGAGATATAAGTAATTTTAAAGTCCTATTTCCGGAGGTAAACAATTTTTTATAAATACACATATATACACCTACCCAATTATTCACATTTACTCTCTCTTTACCTAAAAAAATTTTCGCTATTTTTAATCAGAATCATTCATATAAATTCATTTTTTTCAGATATCATGAAATAATTATAGAAGTTATCTAGAAGTTAATAATAGCAGAATGAGTGAAGATATTTTGGAAAAACTTATAAAAAGTAAGCATTCTCAAAATATAAACAATGTATCTGAACATAAATTGGAAAGTGAAAAACTCGTATTAACCATTCCGAATTATCTGTCAGAGCCCCAAAGTGTTAATGTTGAAATGAATATTCCTGATGGAGAAAAATCGGTTGGAATAGTTGATAATGATAAAAATAAAGAAAATAAATGTGAAGATAAAATATTCAGTTCATTACAAACTTCAGAAAAGAATATATCAAAATCCAATTCTCGTGAACCAGAGATAACATTCACTGGCATAGTTTCTAAATCACATCAGTTAAAATCAAGAGAGTCATCAATGAGCTCGGATATACTACAAGGATCGAGGTCTTCTTCGCTATCTCTGAATGACACTGTTATTGATAGTGCATCTACAAAAGACTTACTAACGCCACTACTAGAATCGAAGTCGGAATCGATATTAAAATCGATATCAATGGCAAGTTCCGATTCTGATTCGACGTCAGCCGCAAAATGTAGTTTAAATCATGAGAATTCAATATCATCAAAAAATATGCGTAGAAAAAGTAGATCAAGATCAAAATTTAGATCTAGGTCTAGGTTAAAAATGAAAAGAAAGTCAATTTTTAAAAATCAATCAGAACCAAGGTCTATGTCAAGATCAAATACAAGAGAAGAGTCTAGGAGTATGTCAAGATCGGAATCAGAAAGATCGTTATCAAGATCAAAATCGGGGTCTATTTCTGATTCTACGTCGAGATCGTCTTCTAAGTCTATTTCAAGATCAAGATCACCTTCTCGATCAAGATCGAAATCACTTTCTCAATCCAGATCGAGATCTAGTTCATCCAATTCAAAAAAATCAAGGAACGAGAGCGAAAAATATATTAAAAAAATGTCATCCATTCAATTTGACAATGGTGAAGATCAAAGATATAAAATAGATTCTAGAAGTGATTTGGACAGCAAAAGGCAAAGCGATTTAGATCAGAATAATGTTCAGAATGATGAAGAATTGAATGAATTGGACGATCGAAAAAATGAAAGGTTTGACGAGTCAGACGACGATACAAATGCAGAGTTGAATACATAGTAAGTAAAGTCACTCTATTAATATTTCATTAAGGCATACCATAATTCGTACAAAAATATTTTCTATGAAATATACAGTCCTTTCCACGTACTTTCGGACACCCAACACAAATATCGGTAGAGCTGAAAAATATTATCCGGCATTTAAAAGTTGAATCTCAAGAAATCAACAGACCTTCAAAAGCGGAGGTGAAAACCTTTCAAAAACGCTATTGCAGACTTTCAAAACATCAAACTTTAGTTTTTTATAACTAATAAAAAAGATAAAAAAATTTCACCTGGCTTTAAAAGGCTGTAGATTTAGATCTCGTAGGCGGCAAAAAACTATATGCAGGTTCGAAAGACAATTACTTCAGCTTTAAAATAAGAGATTGAGTATTTTTTTCAGAAATTTTTTTTCCAAGTTAGAGCATTTCTTATAAAAAAATGAGGTTTTTTTCTGAAAATGGAAACACTTAAAAAAATATAAGCAATATAGAAAAAAACTCTAATAAGAAAAAATGTATATTTTTATCTATAATAGTATGAAGATCTGCAGTTTAAATTTTATTTGGTGAAAAAAAAAATTTACAATTTGTTAACCTGTTAAAATTGTAAATTAAAATAATTATATTTTTGAAAACTACTATTTTTATTTTATAAAAGAAAACAAAATTTTCACCAAAGTCTAGCCAATGAAATACTTGTAAAACTATGTTTATTTTGTAGTTCTCATACGATACTTAAAATTACTATCTTTTGATGACAAATAAAAAAAACTTAAAACAGCAATTTTTTATTAAATAAAAAATAAAAAAACAAAAATTATTTCAAGTCCGGGTTATATTGTATGAAATAAAAAAAATCAATTTTGGAAAACGTAATTATTTTAATTTACTTTTTTAACAGGTTAAAAAAAACGAAAAAAATTTATTTTCTCATAATCAAATTCAAACTGCAGATATTTGTTCTATAGTTAAAACTATATCTTTTTTCTCTCTAGTTTTTTCTATATCGCTTATTTTCTTATGTCGTTTTAAAAAGAAGCTCTTATTTTTTTACGAAATGCTCAGCTTGGTAAAAAATATTTAAAAAATTGCTCAACCTGTCATTTCAAAGAAGAACAAAATTTATTTCGAACTTACAAACAGTTTTTTCCGTCTATGGGATCTAAATCTGCAGCCTATTATAGTCAGATGAAATTTTGTACATTTTTTTATATTCTTTTATCAATCATAAAAAACTAAAATTTAATGTTTGAAGTTTACAATAGCGTTTTAAAAAAGCTTTCACCTCCTCTTTTGAATATCTATTGATTTTTTGAGATAATACTTTTCGGTCCCGAGTAATAATACTTTTCAGTTCTGTAGATTTTTGTGCTGGGTACACAAATATATGTGGAGAAAAGTATATCATGTGACATTGATTTTATTTAAATGTTACTCTCTTTCTTTTTGGAATTGCGGCTTGAAAATATGCAGCACTGAAATTATAAATTGATGTTACATCCATCGAATTTAATAATGTATAATAAGTGTCTAAATACACACATATAATTTTAAGAGAGGTAATTAGGTCTATAATTTAAAAAGTAACTATTAGAATATTCAGTAATGTGACGGTAAACGTCCTGTTAGCGCTAGCAGCCTAACCGTGCGGCTGGCTGCGAGGACAGCACCTACCGGTTGGGGAAAATGTAATGAGGGAATTCGGCACGAGACGGGACGGAACGCGTGCGAATATAAATGAACTAGTCGAAGATTAGCTATCCGATCATTCAGCCGTTTAACTGCAAGTCAGAGTTCTCCGCCAAAAAATAAAATCCCCAAGGGAAATAAGCAGTGAGCCCGCCGATCTTACAAACAATAAGTGTGACATTTCCGCGCTCGCGACAACTGAGTGTGTGTGAGTGAGCGTGAGTGGGTGTTTTCGCTATCGAGGGCGAAAACCGAGAGCGGACTGTGCTCACGAAGGACGGGCGCTAACGAATTTGCCTCCTTTCTCGTTGCGAGTAGTGCGCTCAATACAAAGGTAAGCTGGCCAACTTGATTTCGCGACTGTGCTTTATTTTTCTCACGATTGCACGGGATTGATTGCTAATACCTCGTAGTCGGTAAGCATCGGTAGCGTGCATATGCTAACGCGGCGAACAAAGAGCTACGATCTCTCCAACGCTGCATATTATTGATGCGCGCGTACTTTGTAAACATAAACACGCGGGCCAAGTGTACTGTAGAGAAAAGGGAAATAAACTAACTCGCATGTGATATTGATTATAATTTCGCTATTATTACTTCCAACGAATAGCAAGTTGGTTGACTGACTCCCGTCCCTTCCTGCTCTCCGACTATTGAATTTGAGCATTTCGATAATACCGTGCGCATCTCGACACGCCTGCGTACCGAACGAATAATCGGATTAAAACGGATCAATCACCCCGTTACAGTAAATATAACTAAATACTTTTAAGACAATTTTCTATTAGTAGTCCAAGTAATTAATTAATGCATCATCATCAGCATTTATTGTAGACTGTATTTTCATGTTACTGAGCATCGGCCTAAAAGTAGCATTTTTCGATCGCGGCTAAGTTGACAATATTTTCGTTTTAGTCACGGTTGACAAAAAATTTTTTTTTTCTAATTTTATTTACAATCTGTCTGATAACAATAAGTAAATGATATAATGTATCGTAAGGAAAAAAAAACAATTTTTAAATGAATAGGTTACATGAGAGTACTTCACCATTGATCCGTATCAGTGATTTTTTTCTTTAATTTATTTGTGTATAAATGGCGATTTATATTTCTTGAATCTTGAAATTTTTGGCGTTATGTAGATTAAACTCTTCGCTAAACTATTAGGATACTATAGCTGTACGCCAGAGTTATATACCGTATTAAGTATATATATGTCCACATTGGTTTAAGTATGTTTACAAAAATATAGTGTACGTGCCATAGCTAAAAAATTGGTAAGCTCACAACTGCGTCTCGGCTATCAATTCTAACATGTTATAGACTTTTCCAACCTGGGCATGTAGTCTACTTACTTTGTGTGACGGATTCTTTCCTAGTAGAATTTTCCACACATCAGTGCTTCATAGAAGCAAGTAAAATATAATAAAGCAAGAATGTACTATTTTAATATTGCTAGCAAAATGTGATATTCATTTGCAGTAATTCTGAAATTTCATTTTAAAATACAATCTTGAATTCTTTTGGATTATACATTTAAAAAATTAAATAGTTAAAAACTATAATAATTGTTTTACAAAATAAGTAATGTATTTTAAAAAAATTTGTGCTTATTTTACCATCTGCTATAGATTATATGTAGTTTACTGGAGGTAAATATACGTTTACTTGCAAGAAAAATTGCGATAGAGGAAGAGGGAGTTGCGAAGATAATCAAAAAAGAAAAATGATCATTTTTATAAAATTTCGTACTTTAAATACATGCAATATTTTAATATAACTTGGGTTATTAGCTTGTGCGTTTTAATCTATTTTTCTCCGAATTCCTTTTTTATTTAAAAACTACTATTAAAAATCACGTTAGTAATTAAGCAATTATCTATCAAGTCACCTCGTGGGGGGTCCAGGTGGCCTGAAACATACAAAGGGGTTTGTTCAAGCATGCACGTGCGCTGCGCACGCGTTGTGGGTAGTGCTTACCGACTACCTCCCAGAGTCGTTCTTTGACCTAGTCGTGGCCCTCCAGAGCTACCCCCCCCCCCCCCAAATAGTTCACTATCTACTACCCCCAATAGTTTACATAAAATAATAAATCTTATTATATCGACTGCCAAGGTAGATTCCTCCTATAGAGGTTATAATACGGTATTTCCGACTGATATTCCTATGTTATTCCGGTGTTCGCTCTTTTACTAATTTTAAGAATTTGGCTGTAGCAAGTCACGAAGGCCAAATCCAGCTTAGCTCGGAGACTTAATTGTAATCAAGGTCGTTTTTCTATCCGATAGTAAATAGTCGGATTTATTCTATTTAGTTCGATTTCTCCTCTATGCGCTTCACAAGGATTATAAATTGTATGATGAAATAACTACATGATAAGGAGGTCAAAAGGGCAAGTAGTATGCATACTAAAAGGCAATTGAATTTTAATTAAAATGTTGAGCCTTTTATTAACCAAAATCAAAATATGTAAGTGTAAGTGTGTAGGTCATAAATTATAATATATAAAGTGCATATGTTGTCTGAGTGTGTCGGCTCTCTTAAACTTAGTTACGACAAATGATTTAATTTGCGTTATAAACTATATTAAGGCAAGATGTAGCGCAATTGGCTTACGCTTAATTTGATAATTATTAGCGTCGCGGAAGTGATATCTAGTACTCCGCATTGCTTTTATTACTCGCAAATTAATTTACAACCGGCACGCTGTACATTTACGTACTATGATGAGATGAACAACTTAATAAATAATGCTGGCTGACTTACGAATCGTGCAGTACTCACTCTAATGTATGGAGAGGCGAATTTGTGTATCTAAATTAATTTCCTTGAATTCTTGAGATGTGTATGGAGGGGGTATGCTTATTAGGGCTGCATCAAGCTTATATTGAAAGACAGAGTTCAGTGCCTCACCTGGACTCACTTCGCGAAATAGTCTTGTCCTACGCTTCTCCACCCACCCACTCTTCCACTTTACACTCTCCCACTTCCCTTAGATATATTTATTTATAGTAAGCAGACAACGTAATTATCAGCAATTATCCTTTTTTTTATATTTATTATTTTATTTGTATAAGTAAATAACAAAATTAATAGTATGTAGACAACGAAATTAATAGCATTTATTTATTTACTTTTTTAATTATACATAGAGTTAAGAACACTCTGTCGATAATCTTTATTTTTTTCAGTTGATATAACTATTTCAAAATATGCAGATGAATTCTTATAAAAATTTTAATCATCTTCAAATGAATCTGTTATGTCGATTCTTTGTGGTTCAGCTTGTTTTTGTCTCTGCTTAATCTAAAAATATAATTTTTG